TGATTTAACTTGAAGAACATTGATCTCTCCTTCTTTCTGCAGATTAGATGTCGAGAAAAACTTTGTTGAGATTTGCTTCGTTCTGTCTCCCTTGATGTAGCCTTCCTTGATTTGAGCTATGCATGTTGTGTTATCTTTATATATAATCGTAGCATTCTTCTTTATTTCTTTCAAACTGCATGCTCCTTGTATGAGATTGATCATCAATCTCTACCATGCTCGCTCTCGATCACTATCGCATAATGCTATCAGTTCGGCTTGATTCCATGTTGTTGTTCGTGCTCGCTCAGTCGACTTCCAAGAAAAGTTGTATCACCATATGTGAACACATTACCTATCTAATTTCACCCTAAAAATTTGTACTGCAGGACCAAGTACTTCTTCGCCCTCTTCTGGGAGGCGATTAGAATGTTATGTATATATATATATATATATATATATATATATATATATATATATGAACAACCATGGGTATGTTCAAAGGATGAGCTTTATCCATATTTCAACGTGTTAACATCTTCTGGATGTAGTGTAACTTATGGACAAATGTGCCATCATATAGGTGTTTAAAATACAATCCAAAGTATAATTTATGTCATGTCAAGATCTTCCATTTCAAATTCTCTCTTCAAGAGTTCAACAGTTTTTTTTCTCTATCTCTTCAAGAGATCTAATGATATTTATACGTTGACGTAAACTGCTATAATAAAGAATATTGAGAGTGATCCTTGAATGACAACACATAGGTTGATTTCAAATTTGTATCTTTCTTTTTCGAGATATTCACTGGGTCAATTGTACCACATATGACCAGATTACATAAGACCATTCCACGATCTCTCCACACATATCTCGATGTATTAATTTTATTGCTTCTGGCATTTTGAATCCTTCAGGGATTATTATCACACAGATGTCGATTTCAAGTGTCCCTTATAATTATGTTATAACAACATCTATATCATTTATTTGAAGTCTTTTTGAGATTGCAAGGCCAATTAAAATTCTAAAAGGATATTGCATCCACTAGTGGAGAATACGTTTCCTCATAATCAACTCCTGAGATTAGGGAAAAACTCTTGCCTTACAAGTAGTACTTCATATCACACAATCTCATTCATTATATTTCTGTTTATTATAGACACCCATTTTAAACCTATTTGTTTGACGTCTATGGGTGTTCAGACTTCAGGTCCGAAAATATTCCGTTTATCGAGTGACTTATATTCGACCTTCACGGTCTTTTGCCATTTGGCAAATCATTTATGTACTATCTACGTGTACTCTTCTTTGAGTTTTAGGCATGTAATCTCTTTTATTGATTACATCCATTGACATAGCATATGCAAGAATATCATTAACACATGTTTCATTTTGGTTCCATATTGTACAGTCTCGTACATAATTAATAGAGATCTCATTTTCTTTCGGTATCGATGTTTATTTAGGAAACTTATTCTTCTAGAATCATATTAGTCTCTTCCAGGACATTTACCTCTTTAGGGGTTAATTTTCTTCTAGAATAGTATTAGTCTTCTTCTGGGACAATTACCTCTTCTGGGGATTCACTCATAATCATGTATGTGGTTTCACTAATAGCATTTTTGCTATCTTCATTTTCGTGGGTTCTTATCTTCGAAACCAATTATTCTCCCACATAAAATGTTCAATAGTCACTTCTGGGACTACCTTAAATTGAGCGATGCATAAGATGCTGGTATATGTAACTTTGTCACTCTGCTCATATATGTGAATGCATCTAGTAATTCATTTGCTCTTCTTTGCAAATCAGACTTCAAAATTATATTAACCACTTCAAGAGTCAAAAATTTACAATGATGCATTTCATATAATTTCTTGTATTACCAGTCTTTCATTATTCTTGTCTCCCCCTAAGACTGGGAATATTTCATTATAAAATTGACAACCAACTTACTTTGATGTTAATATATCTCATGTAAAAACTCTAAACATTTAACAATAGACGAGGAGTTATAGCCAATGTCAATACACAGTCTCCTACATTATATTGAATGCATTGTGGGGGAGAGGGCATATAAGGCACACAATCAAACAATCAAATATTGTGAGAAGGGACAAACTTATTTCTCTTCAGGAGATATCAAGTGTAAGAAACTCAAAAATTTGAAAATTTGACATTTTATTTATAGGGAAGGATTAATAAAAATAAACATGTGTATATAAAATACATGCGAAGGAGAACTTCAGGTTCTTACCTTATAATAAGACCATTTTTTATGGTTGAGAAAATATCTAGAATTCACTTCTAACCAAAGTGTTTACAATTGACACATAAAATTCATAATGAGCACTTTACTTGCAACATCTTAGTACAATCTTCTTTCTTGAACTTCAGGTTCACATCTTCTTTAATTGAAGAATATATATAATCTAGCATATGTCATGGAATTTATCTTCCATTCAACTCCTTCAAAAACCTTCCCTCAGTGTCTACCTACCATTGTGGTACCTTGATAATTTCTTTTAATTTATGCCCACTAAGCATCTGCTCCAAATAATTACCACATAAGTGAAGATTCAAAATCTAGTATAAAATGATTTGTTCTCATAATCAAAAGTATAACCATTATTTCAATGCACTTTGCATATTAACTAGAGCTGCAGGCTCTTTTGTGACTAATGATGTTCAACATAACCTATAAATTTTGTCCATAATATAATATATGGACAAATATCATAAACTTCAGGTTACGAGTTAATTGTCAACAAATATGACAAATATAATGATGCATTATATAAAACATATAAATTGTCCTCACGAATAGGTGATGGGCCCAATCAATTATCCTTGAACAATTTCTAAATATGTATGAAATGAATCTCAAGTTTCATTAGTAATAATCTCATAATAATCTTCTAATGAGAACAAGACTCTAGGATCTTCTGGTCCTAATAATAACGGAAAACTTCTAGTCCTTCAGATAGTACTCACTTGAGTTTTTAATGATTTTTTCTTCACATCACAAACTAAATTGTGATAATTTAATTGGTTATGTTTAAAATAAAAATTGGTTCCGTAAACTTCTGGTTTACGTGAAAACAAATCTTGATCAAGTGTCATGTAATATTTGTAATATTCATTTCTACTGGTATCTTAAACATTAACAGAGACACCTTAAACAATAAGAATTTGTCTATACCCAATAGAATATTCGTCAATGCAGGACAATAACTATCATCTCAAAATATTAAATATTTATGAGACTTTTATTATTTCTATTATGCAGCTCTTATTCTGCAATGCTCTTCTATAACTATCTATAAGTTTTGTATCACAAGAAAATTATATTTACACTAATTTCTTTAATTACAAGAGAAAAGAATCTCTTTCGTCTAAAAAATATAATGCGTATAATCACTCCTTTGATTATAATATATTTACTACATCATTCTTCAGAAATATTGATGAGGAATCATATATAGATTAGAACAAAGGTCTTGAAATATCAAAACGTGTCTGTATGATGAGATTTTTTTTTAACTAAAAATAAGCCACTTCAGGTGGTAATTAAATATTATAAGACCTTAGGTATCTCATATACCCATATATTGAGTTTGATGAACATGATAACGTGTTGTGAACTGAGTACTTTATTCATCATATGTCGGGATATTTATACATACACAAGGAAGAGGTAAAGTCTAGGTAAACAAGATAACCAGATATTCTAAATAATAAGAGTAATATATCTGTCATATTTATTATTATTATTATTATTATTATTATTACGTAGTATTATTATTATATGAGTCGGTGTATAATTTGAGTTTTAGTGCTTTTATTAAATTATGATAAAAAATTATTTTCAAGGTACTTTCAATTTTTTTGGTAAGAACATGCATGTCCTGCATTATTTGAGATGTATTCCGAAGTACTTTCTATTTTTAATAAAGCTTCTAAGTCCCACATTATCTAAAATATACTTTGAGAGTCCTTATAATTTGTGGTAATGTAGTTCGATAGTACATTATGTCTATTTGACCATTTAGATTGAACTAACCAAACACCAAAAAAATTTCTTCGGAGAATCTCAATTTTCCTGCTAAGAACTTAGTTGTCTTATTTTACTAAATTTCACCTTAAACTTTAATAAAATATTTAAATTTATAATCATTATTATCTTGGTTTTTATTAACTTAAAATTGAACTACTTTTATTGTAAAAGTAGAAGCAGACTACTTTCATTTATTAGAAGAGTGGTGCTAAATTCACCTATTGTTTTGCTAAATCCACTTCATTTATAATAAATTGATAACTTTACCTCTCACTTTTTTCTTTTTTTCCTCTAAATATTAAGGGTAAAGCTGTCCATTTCATATACAAAAGGATGAATATAGCGAAATGACAAGTGAATTTAGCAACAAACTTTTCACAAATTCACTAGTCATATGTTTAGCTAAATTAACTTTTCACAAATTCAAAAATAACGTATATCTAAAATATATTTTTTTGAACACATATCTAGCTAAATTATGTTTAAAATTAAAATATATACGAAATATATCTAATCTGAAATATATTTGATCTGATATAAGTTCAAAATCGAAATATATTGAAATCAAAATATATCTGAATTGTCTCAAAATAAAAAAAATGTAAGAAATCAAACTAAATCCAAATCAAAATAGATTATAACATATACTTCCTCCCCATAAAACCTTTCATGCTTGAAAAAAGACGTGCCTTTAAAATGAGTAATTTTGGTATTATTTTCTTATTATAAATTATTTATTCTACACGTCTCATCTTACTCTATTATAAAGTAAGAAAAAAATTAAAAAATAACCCCAAAATTAATCAATTTGAAATATCCCAACCAAAACCATGTCTAACAAGCACCCTTTCTTTCATTTCCTTCACAAGGAGCCCCCAAAGGCCCCAATAAGCAGCCTTTCCCTCCATTTCCCTCACAGAAAAGAAAGAGTCCCTCAAATATATGTGCGCTGTCAAATTCTGCCATAGCCATGGAGTTGTCACTCCCAAGTCTCGCCCTATCAAATTTCGCCTCGCTTCTTTAAACTGACGTTTTTACTTGTGTGGAATATCAATACTTTTTTTTTCTCTATGCCTCCCTCTCTCCGCCGTTGTGTTTCTTCCGGGACACCGGCGTCGGCGGCGGCGCCAACGAAGTTAGAGCCGGATGCGGCATTTGAAGCTGTGCCTTCATTAGGATACTATTCGGGTCAAACCCGGGTTTTCTCGGAGCACGGCCTCGGAGTGGATAATCTGGGTGGAGCTAGGGTCGAAATGAAGCGTACGCCTTTGGCGGTCTGCGAGTTCTCTGGAGTTAGGGTTAGTGGAAAGAAGGGAGTTGTCGTGTGCAGGAGGAGTAAGAGGTTAATGAATGCCGCTGAAACTGATATGGGGGCCGGATTATCAGGTCTGCCAAGTGATTTAAGTGAGTGTACGAGTGGGATGAGGCCAGGCTGTGAAAATGTAAAATCCAGTCCGTTGAATGACTATTGGGATGGTAGAGTTGCAATTTTTGGCCAGTCGGGAGCCAAGGGTTGTGCGGGTGATGGGAAGGGAAATGCTGAGGCAACCCGTGATCAAGAAGCTGGGAACATAATGAGTAATGAGGGAAATTTGGTGAGTGTTTCCAGTGGAGAGTGTGGGAAGATGGGTGACAAGGTGGAGGTGATAGTCAAAGCAGAGTCAACAGCACTTGTGAATAATGGAGCGGGCGAGGTACTGCAAAGGCGTTTCACTCGGTCTAGTTTGAAGCGGAAGGTGGAAGTGGCACCCGAAATGGGAAGCGTAGACGGGAAAGGGCTTGCTGATGATGCTGAGGTTTTGAAAGCCAAGGGTGGTGGTTCTACTGCCTTGGGTAGTCATACAGAGAGGCTAGAGATTGAAATTTCCAAGAAGACCCATCTAAAACAAAGACCAAATACTGTTAGAGAGCTTTTCCGCACTGGTTTGCTGGAAGGATATGATGTCTTCTACAAAGCAGGCAAAAGGGTAACTGCTAAGTGTAGTACAGTTTCTCAACTGAATCATTTCATCCTCCTTTTTCAGATCTTCTTTAATTTTGTCTTATACTCCATAAATAACTTTTGATGGCTGTCACTCCCTGACGGCTTAACTTTGTTATTTGTACATAATATTGAACTTTTTACTGATATGCTCTGTTTTGGGTGGATAAGAGAGTAGATGCATACAACCTTTGATAGTCTTGTTAAAGTGTATCTCATATTAGGCCATATTTAAGGAGAAAGTTGATATTTCAAATTTGCTTGCAATTTGAAGCCATCAAAGATTTCAGCATGCCTCACTGCTTGTCTATTTGAGATTTGAGAGAATATAAAGTTTTGACACAAACAAAAGCTCTATATATGGGAAATGACTTAATTTTCAAGGAATAATTTCTCAATGGTGAGAGCTTATATATGTGAGTACTATCTCGTTGTCTACAAATGGATTTCCTTTAGGAAGAATTGTTTTTCTTTTTGCATATTTTGAACATGAGTCTTACTTGATCATCACCCTAAGATTATGGCCTTAGTACCCTTAAAGGCTTAAACCAAATAGTTCCACTTATTCATTTTTAGTACAAGGTTTTGTATTCCAGCCTCTTTGTAGTTTGAGACTAAAGCTTCCTACTTTAGGGAGTATTGCTACGTGGAATAATTAAAGGTGTTGGAATTCTGTGCTCCTGTGAGATGTGCAAGGGATCCATAGTAAGTATATATGAGTTCTAATCACTCTTTTCTACTCAGTATCATTCAAGAATAGATTAGCTGCTATCATTTCAAAAATTTATCAGTTCTCTTACAACTACTTTATGATAGGTTCTCTCTCCTTGTAAATTTGAGATTCATGCACGCAAGTCATATAAGCGTGCATCACAGTATATCTTCTTTGAAAATGGGAAGAGCCTGCTTGATTTGGTGAAGGAATGCAGGAAATGCTCTTTAGAGACATTAGAAGAAACAATTCAGAGTTGTATAGGGCTGCCTTGTTTACAAGAGAGTGAAGAAACCAATCTGTGCCAGAAATGCAAGGGTGAATAAATTTCCGCTTTTGAATATTGTTATCACAAAATGAATAAGCGTTTGATAATTTACAATTGATAGGGCCATTGCTGGCAACATCTGCTGCAAAACATCCACTATGTCATCTGTGCTTGATTGTTACAAGATCAGATGCTGAAGTGGGGTAAGACTGGTTTTAAGTTTGGAAATGCACTCTGATTATGTCATCTGCTATGCAGTGATTTAAGATATGTTGAATTTATTTTGATTGCCTAAAATTAGTCGTACTGTAAACTTAAGCTGCTATGTGTAGGTAAACACCACTGTAACACCTTCGAATTCATTCTCTGACTTAGATCGCTTTTTCCTTGTAATCAAGCTTATGTCTTTATTAGTTTACTTCATACCTATGTATCAGTTTATATACAATGCTAAACGAAACAATATAATGGTTAGCAAGTATGATGGTCGCATCCTTCTCTTTTGAAATTCGTTATTTTTTTCATTTATGCTATCTTAGGACCTCTGAACCAGATGAGAAGTTAAATTCTTCTGCAAGTGTCAAAGTTGTTGCTTCTTCCATGATTAGTACTGAAGGGAGGAAAAAGAGAAAGTCAGTATATTTTGTGTTAATTTATTCATATTTTTCAATTAAGTTTTAGAGCATTTGTTATATCATTAGTTCTTCGCATGTTTTTTTAGGACCTCTGACTCAGTTGAGAAGTTAAACTCTTCTGCACCTGTCAAAATTGTCGCTTCTTCCGCTATTAGTACTAAAGGGAGAGAAAAGAGGAAGTCAGTTTCTTTGAAGTTATTTTTTTATTTTCTATTTTTGAAATAAATTGCAGTGCTTATATTGTAGTTTATTCATTCTTCACATCCAGGGTCATGTATTTGGCTTCAAATGGAGAGGCTTCTCTGAGATTCTCAGCGCGTTTATTGCCAACACAGACAAGTCAATCAGAGATATCAAAGAGAAGGTTATTTGATTCTATTCAGTTTCTATTTTCTTCCATTTTTATATATTCCATCAAGTGAGACAGCAGATGGAATGATTGTAGAATCTGCTTTTCATGGCTTCTTATTTCAGGGTAACAAGACCACCAGATGCTTCTAAAAGCAACAAGTTCAAAATGAAGATGGATGGGCAGAATCTGAAAAAGTTGGTAGATGAAGAGATTTTCTTATTTTACTAGAACACTGTTTTGCCGAACTGACTGGTTTCACCTATGATTATTCTGTTGGGTTTATCCAGATTTTCCAGATCCACTCCTGCTATGAAGTTTGCAAAAAGCACTACAAGTACAACACATACTCGTGTTCAAACCAAGAATCAGTTGAAACTTACAAAAAAGTTGTAGTTTACATGATATTGTAGTATCTTAATCAGTTAATCCTCTTTTTCCTTTCAATTTCTTGATCTAATGCTTCTCGTTTTCCTTAGAGACCAAAAGATGCATTGGATGGTCTTTGAGGAGGGAGGTCTGCCTGATGGGTCTGAAGTAGGTTATTATTCTCATGGAAAGGTGGTTGAACGTCGCTTCTTTCGTGCAGGTCTTTATGTGTATAAAATATAATCCTCTACCTAGGTAGCGTGACAACTAATGCTATCTTTTTTCAATTCGTATCCACAGAGGTTGCTTGTTGGCTATAAAAAAGGATTTGGCATATTTTGTACGTGCTGCAATACTAAGGTATTATGTTAGTTGTTTGGGTTTACCTTTCTTGTAAGTCTTTATATATTCTTTGATGCTTTATTTACTTTTTACCTCTTATTTTGTGCTCAGGTCACCCCGTCACAGTTTGAAGCTCATGCTGGCTGGGCCTCTAGAAAGAAACCGTTAGTTTCCATACTTTACCTTTCATGTGAAATACTGAATTTTTTCTCAGTGTTAATCTTGACATGTTTTCTGCAGCTACATGTTTATATACACATCTAACGGAGTGTCCCTTCATGAATTTGCTATATCTCTATTAAAAGACCGCCATAGTTCAGTTAAAGACAATGATGACTTGTGTATTATATGTGCTGATGGTGGCAAACTCGTGCTTTGTGATGGATGCCCAAGGGCCTTCCATAAAGGTTAATGTTAAGCATTTAAAGTTCATACCTGATTTTATGCTTATCATCCTTAACCTTAAAAATGATTATGGAAATTTTGGATATGGAAGTCCTTTTGCATACTTCTAGACTAGCACAAGTTTTAATTGCTTAGGAAATTTATAGGTCCTTGGGTAATTGTTTTTCTCATTTCATTGATTCATTCATTTGTTCCATTATATTTCCAACTGAACTTTCATTGTTCTAAAGCTATCCTTGCACAGTTGCACCCAAAAAAGTTAAACATATGGCTGTGTTCTTGCTGAAAAGAAAATATTGTTATGGTTGATGATGATGCAATTTGTTGTGTTTACTATTATTGTGATTAACTTTTGAGACTGCTTCTAGAGAATCCTGAATTATTTTGTAAAAAAAAACAAATAACTGCCAACTGGATGCAGTAGGTAATATCTGCCTTCTTTCTCACACTATTTGGTCTCTACTCTTTCTTCTCCGTGTCAGATTATAACTGGCTGTGTGCATGTTCTATGAGCAGGTAGCGTCATGCTATGTTAAACAAATGCACTGTTATGTATTAGTTTAAAGATAGGATATTTAAGAAAACTACCCACTCAGTTGTGAACTAACCAATGCACTATTATGTATTACACGAAAGTTAATAACTGGTATCTATGATTTCTGCTCACCATGTAAAATTGAAAAAGTATTTGGATTGTTACAACTGCTTGTGGGTTCTTTTCTCAACTTGTGGTTCATCATTTGAGCATGCTCTGTACTATCTATTTGAATCTGATAGCTGAAATTTATTTGCTTGTGCAGAATGTGCCTGCTTGGACAGTGTCCCCAGTGATAAGTGGTATTGTAAATACTGTGAGAATATGTTCCAGAGGGAGAAGTTTGTGCAATACAATGATAATGCTTTTGCAGCTGGAAGGGTGTCTGGTATTGATCCAATAGAGCAGATAACAAAGCGCTGCATTCGTATTGTTGAAAACCTGGAAGAAGCAAAAGTCATTGCATGTGTATTGTGCAGGTACTGGCATATTTGCATGATACATCCATGAACCTACTTTTAGATTTATTCCTCAAAATTCATTGGATGCTTGCAGAGGTTATGATTACAGCGGGTCTGGTTTTGGACCAAATACAGTCATATTGTGCGATCAGGTATTTGTTTTGCATTTTTCATATGTATGCAATTATGCATTTAGTCATGTAGATCAGTAGATGTGCATGTTTTATGCATACATTATGTTACGTAGTACTGGTGATGTTTATTAATTTTAAAATGAAAACCATCGCCCCAAATAATTTACATCTGCATTCTTAACAAAATAAAATGGTAGTTTGGTGCACAATGCATTCCCGGTTCAGTCGATTCTTAACGTGCGTGGATGCATGCGCTCCTTAATGACGATCCAGTCAATTTTACCATATTGGAGATCTTAATATCAATTTAGATCCCAAATTCCCGTATGATGCATAACCATTTAAGTCTTCACATCAAATTGCGAGTTTTACTAACTTGATCCAAGGGGTTGAAAGGAAAAGTCGGGACTCGAGGCAGTGGGACTATCTGACATGAGGCGTAAGTCTCAAGGCGTGATGAGACGTACACCTCAATTTAATTAAAATAAAATTATATCATAAGATGCATAATTCGTACTGTGAAATAAAGTAATACTCTCACAACATTGGTAAATTATTATAACTAATATAACTTTAACACAGATTTTGAAAAGTTCAAAAAACAGACAACCAGAACTTATGTTACCAAATACCAATAAGACAGTCAGTAAATGAGTAATAGATAAATAGTATAATTCTCCGATATAAGCAGGTACAAACAAAAATCCTAAGTAAAGAAGAGATTAAGTAAAGTAGGGCAGGTGAGAGAGAGAGAGAGGGAAGATGGGCGTAGTGGCGGTGGTGGTGGTGGGGGGTTGATTGATTTAAGGAACTAACTACTAAGTGTTAACAAACTAAGATGAAGTGAAAAAACAATCACATAGCTAGACCAATACAACTATAGTTCTACTGTTTATTATGGAGTACTTACACTGTTTTTAGAAATGCCAAAGATTAAACATAGTAAATAATGGCTTCGTTTGGAAACAATGTGATTAGCTTAAGCATTTTGGGCAGTTTTTTAATGATGCATAGTAGCTTTGCAAGCTTACACTTAAACCTATGTTGGATAACATGTTAGGGCTAATGCCAAAAAGAGGCAATATAAATGTCTAGGCCCAATATCTTTTAAGAGCATTCATAAAATCATGATTAAAGTCTGAAACTTAAGCCTTGCGCCTCGTATGCCTTGATACACCTCATCCACCTAGGGCATAAGCCTCGAAATACCAACATGAGCCTTGAGCCTTTGAAGTTCAAACCCATCGCCCTTAAGCCTCACCGCCTCAAGGCGTACTGCCTCAAATGCCTTTCTAAACCATGCCTTGATCTCATCTTAAGGTGACTTTCACCTTCATGTGTGTTTTTGCAACAAGATGATATCAAGGAAGGTGAGAGCCATTTACTAGACAATGGTAAGATTGACGCTCCAGTGAGGAGTAGTGAAAGGTAGTAGATGGAGGACATGAGGAGGGGTAGAGGTAGACATAAGAAGAGGTTGAACTAGGTGATTTTATTCTTCGAAAGTATTCTGTTACACACACCTAAGAGCTGATCTCCAGATGCTTGGTTTTTATCTTTGACAGTGTGAGAAGGGATATCACATTGGTTGCTTGAAAAAACACAAGGTGGCTGACCTCAAGGTGTAGTTTCATGTATCCGTAAATTCAAAAACTAGTATTTTTTCTATTTCATGGTAAAGTTGCCTTTCCTTTCTTCCCCTATTTATTTAGGTTTTTTCCTGCTCACACTTCAGGGACTGCCCAAAGGAAAATGGTTCTGTTGCATTGATTGCAAAAGGATAGATTCAGTACTGCAGAATTTGTTGAACTCTGAAGAAGAGAAACTGCCCAACACTCTTTCGGATATAGTAAGAGCTAAGGAAATGAGTAATGGTGTTCATTCTATTGGTGAAATTGATGTGAGATGGAGGCTTCTAAGTGGCAAAAGTACTTCTCCTGAAGCCAGGGTTCTGCTTGTCGAAGCTGTTTCAATTTTCCATGTAAGTGCTTCACCCTTCAGCTTGTTCCTCTACTGTGTTAGCCATTTTGTTACGATCATGCGTCGTATTATTCTCAGTTCAATGCATTGTAGTTTCCAAGACCAGTTTGAATGTACTGAAACCTTTCTTTCCCGAGCTTTTCCTTGAATTGTGTTTGTATATGGCATAGTTGTAATAGTTTTCCTCAGAAATTTTTTGTGTATGCAAGCTGTTTTTTCTCTCTCCAGGTGGGGAGGTGGGGGGGGCATAGGCTGCATGAACATAGCTGGTTCTGTGACACTAAATTGATTGTTGAATGACACCTGTTACAGGATTGCTTCAATCCTATCGTTGATTCAGTAACTGGGCGTGATTTTATTCCCTCAATGGTTTACGGGTATTTTTTATTTTTTGGTTTTTGATTTAACTCTTCAATAATCATTGCGCCTTTTCTTTTTCCAACTTGCAACTCTGATCTATTCAATTTTTCTACGCCGTATTAATTATTCCACACCAATTGCAATGCTGTTTTTGTATCATCCTAGGCGAAGGAGCATTAGATGGCAAGACTTCAGAGGCATGCACTGTGCAGTATTAACTCTAAAGTAAATTTCTGTAACGTGAAGTTTTTTTCTTGAGTACATTATCCTTTTTTTTCAGCTTGTTAATCATCTTTTTGTGCGGACCCCGCAGCTCAACTGTAATATCAGCTGCTATCTTCCGAGTTTTTGGCCAAGACTGCGCAGAAATCCCTCTAGTGGCGACTCGTATTGGAAGTCAGGGGAAGGCAATGAGAATTCTACTGAGTGGCATGAATTTGAGTTCTATAACTAAGTTTATTTAAATGCTAATTCTTTTTTAACAAATGCTTTTCAGGGTTACTTTCAACTCCTATTTTCCTGCATAGAGAAATTGCTTGCATTTTTGAAAGTGAAAACCTGCGTTCTTCCAGCCGCCTATGATGCAATGTCAATATGGACCAAAAAATTTGGATTCAAAGAGATATCTCCGGAGCGCGTATGATTTTTGCTTTCTTTTTAAAGAAATGTTACTCCATTTAGGTAATGCATGTGTTATCCCTACCATATCGACCCGCATGAAAAATATGAAGAACAATGTTGTCCTTGCAGCTTGCCGACTACAGAAAGATTTGCTGGCAGATGGTTAGCTTTAATGGAACGTCTATGCTTGAAAAAGAGGTTCCCAAATGTAGAGTTATTCGTCAAGACGCCAGAAGAGAGATGTAATTTGATATAGCCAAAGAGGGTTGTGATTGCAAGTGTTGTTGATCGATACTGAGACAGAAGCAGAGCTGTAAAAGTGTGCAAATTAGAATGGGCAGACCAAAATGTTTTCTGCCTTTTTTTTTTGTTTTTTGTTCTTATGGCGACCCTCGTCATGTAAAACGGCCAGTCATTGGTGTCCTAAAATATGACAATGTTGTACTTTGTGCTCATATATGGCTAAGTCTTGAAAAACCCTCATGCAATAATAGGCAAATTATATTATACATCCGGTTGTACCCAATTTTGGGTACAACCAAGAAATTATTTATGATATGAATTTTGTTTTTTACATGAGAATGAACACTAAGTTATTTGAGAATGAGTACTGTTTTGTTTCAGAATGAACACTACATTATTTGTAGATGAATATTATAATTATCTTGAATCAATGTCTGAAAATGAGTTGAGTACTGCATTATGTTGAAATGAGTACTATGCTAATTATATTTGTACTGGAATGAATATTACTCTATTTCACAATGAATACTCTCCGGATAATATATACCTATCTCTAGGTACATCCGGTTGTACCATATACCTTCTCGCAATAATAGTTGGTCAAACCAGCTCATGAGTTATTTTACCTTACCTTTAGACTTTGATCTGGACTTAAACTTATGGTTACTACTTTCTTGATTCATGCCTCTTACAACTAAATCTTCACCAGAACTTCAGAATGAAATTTTGTATCAATTTTTTCTTTGGAAAGTATGTGAGATTTCACATCATTAAAAGACAATGTAAAATAATTACCTAGCATAATTTGCTACTCCCTTTTCCAATCCCACCTTCTTTCTTAGTATTGTTGGTGGTCTTTAGTATTTTACCAACACCAAACCTGATATTCAGTTTGCTATGAATCATGCACTCACTAAACAGGATTTTAGCTTATTCAAGTGGATTCTAAGGTACATTCAAGGTACCATTGATCAAGGATTGGTTTCACAACTAGGCTCTCCGGTATACGTGCCTATTTTGACTTCGACTAGGCAAATGATATGACCAATGGTAGATCCATTACAGGACACTTGATTGATTTGGATCCTAATCTTATTTCCTCGAGTACGGAAAAGCAGAGTTGAGTCTCCAAATCCTTGGTTGAGCCAGAGTACTGAGCTCTTTCCTCTGCACCATCTAAGGTGATGTGGTCATCACATCTTTTGGACGATCTACGCGTTCAGACGCCTCCTCCACATCTGTTCGTGATAATCAGTCGGCGATTTGTTTGATCGAAAATTCAGTATTCTACAAACGCATGAAGCATGTAGCCACTTATTGTCACTTTGTTCGAGAGCAAGTCATTGCCGAAACTTTGACTACTTCGCATGTCTCATCCACAGAGCAACATCCTGATCTCCGCAGTTTAGGGACCTTGCGTCGTCCAAGCTTCTACTCGTTTCACAACGTTCTTCTTGAGAGAGTATGTTAGAAAATAATAGTGAAATTTGCACTAAATATGACTAAAAATAAGTCATTTTTCCAATGTAGGATTTAAACTTTTTTATTTTCTAAATAGTACTCCCTCCGTCCCTAAATAAACTTCCCTTTTTGACTTTTTGAGAATTTAAGGGAGAGATATTTTTGTGTTGACTTTTCAAAAATACCCTTGATGTGATGTGTAAAAGTAAGATTTGATATGTAGATTAGTAGTAAAAAGGTATGATGTGATAGGTAGGGTATGAAAAAGTAAGGGGTAAAAGGGATTTTTAAAGGAAAAAAGAAGTTTATTTAGGGACAAAGAAAAAACGAAAGGGGAAGTTTATATTGGGACGGAGGAAGTACTTAATAATGTCTAGTGGGTGGAATAATGATCAGTTATAGTAATCCATTTACTTGAATAATGACTAATAGATAATGACTAATGGTCTTACATTGAAAAATAAAAATAAATAATCCTTTTTTTAGAAAGTCATTATGTTTTAGTCATATTTAAGTAAATTTCCAAAATAATACTCCCTCCGTCCCAAAAAGAATGGGACGGTTTGACTTTTTGGGAAATTAAAGGAGGGATATTTTGGTATTGACTTTCCAAAAATACCCTTGATGTGATGAGTAAAAGTAGGATGTGATGGATAGATTATTAGAAAAAAGGTATGATGTGATAGGTAGGGTATGAAAAAGTAAGAGGTAAAAGTGGTTTTTTAATAGAAATGTAACGGACTTTATGAGATGCAGTTTTTTCTAAATGTAACAAACTTTTTGGGACGGAGGGAGTATTAGTATTAATATTTGTGATATGTAGTGTTTGTTTATAACTTAATTTCCTACTTACTACTCCACTTTATGGTAGGAATACCTCCTATATATACTCTAGTGTATCCTTCATTAATTTTTAAGTAAAATAATTCTTCCACTATTCAAACAAAGGGAAGGACGTAAACTAAACAAGCACCAACATTGTCATCATTAAAAAAATACGGAGTAGTACGTACTTCTTTGCACCTGACGACCATTTCTTGGCGTGTGCATCATCCCATATATCCATCCCACTGTTATAGCCGACTTCTGCCGGCCACCCCCATCTAAAACCAAATGCTTTTAACGTACGGATTAATGAGCATATACAGAGATGGGAAATAATACGTGGCTCGGCCACATTTCCCAATTATTTTACGAAGAACAGTCAAACCGGGCCTGTTTAATAAAATGGAGGAATAATAGAATATTCTCCCGTAGATGCTCCAGCTACCCCTATAAAAGAAGGGCTCCCCCTCAATGCTAAGGGAGCCAATTTCACTCTCATTCCCTGCTCATCTACTCTCTCTCTAGAAAGCTTTAGTGTATATTTTCTTCTTCTTCAAGAGCTCAAATGCTCCATTAATGGCTTCTACGCCTAAATCATGTACCGTGTACACACCCCCGATATTAATAAAAATCCTCCGTTGGCAAGGTACCGCCAAAAAAGGCCCGTGGTTTTCTCCCGATTTGGGTTTCCACGTAAAAATTTCCGTGTTTATATTTTGGTGTATTTTTTAGACTAGTTTATCGTTTTAGCCGGGCTAAAACGATATACCGGTCGATAATTTACACCATCATTTTGGCGCCGACCGTGGGACATGAACAATTAGCCATGTTCATTTTTTTTCTGACTGCAAAAAATGCTCTGAGAGAAGAGAGACCAAAAAAATGGACAGATTTGTGGCGCAAATATAAAAAGGGAGAACCCCTTAAAATGCCCAATCTAAATTGTCCTCCATAGCCCACAACAGATCCGCCTATCTCTAAAACGGATCTGCCGGCTTCCCCTAAGCTTCTTTTTTGGCCAGGGACCGATGGAATAGATGGTCGTGGAGGAAGCGAAGCCGCCGCCGTCTCCGGAGATTTCTACCACCAGTTAGGTTTCCACGACGGCGCAAACCCAGAGCTTCTTCAGTGCATTATAGACTCCACAGGTAGAGAAGGAGACAAAACAAACTGGAAGGTGGAGAGGACTAGAAGCCCACCGCCGGTGTTAAAACGGTGACTTCCATCGCCGATACTCTTGTAATCGCCACCACCAACAAAGCTCGATGCCGCTGCTCATGTTTGCCGCCGCTGCTCAGACATGCGGTCGCCGCTGTTCAGACCTGCCGTCGCCGCTGTTCAGACCTACCGTCGCTGCTCCTCATTTTCCATTGGCGTCGCGGTCATGACCCAAACACGCCATTGCCAAAGTCGAGCATTACTAGCGACGAAGTCAATCTCCATCGTTGCCACTGTCGGAGTCCCCACCCACCGCCATCACTGACCTTGAGGAAGTCGCGGGATATGCGGGACCAGATCAAGGATTACATTTCGGCATTGATGATGTGGCTGCGGTCGATTGGGCACTGGATGGTGGTCGGGGTGAGATCTACGTCTGGGGCGAGGAGTTGGTTGGCGATGAGCCATTTCTTCGAAGCAAGACGACGGGCGTAGCAGTTTGGGACTCCTGCGCTGGGGTCATCTCTGCCCTAGAAGCCTCGCACCAATAACAACTTCGGCGAGGTTATATCTCTCTCAATATATTCGTCGGGGAGCTGCCGGAGCTTTTCACCGAATTCAACAGCCTCACCACTCTGGTTCTCGCTTCGAACAATTTCTCAGGCCAAATTCCGGCGAGCTTCGGCAGGAACTTCAGATTTTCGATCAACCGTTATCCTCAATTTCGTCCGTGGCCGCCTCGCTTTGGTCCGCCATTATTTGCTCAAGCTTTGTCAAGTTGATACAGAAAAGAGCCGGTGTCCCTCCGGAAGACTTTGTTCAAACTTGCTGCCGCCGATGAGATCCTCCGCCGATAACACCCTAATCCGTCCAGGTCTACAGCCCCATTCGGACTAAAGTATTTAACTTGGTAATCGTAAAATTTAAAACTTTTCAAACACACTTTATTAATCTCAATAATATTTTTCATAACATATGCAGTACGGAGTATTTAACAATATTGCGGAAGCGAATTTAATATTGACATATCATAAATCATTTCAAAACTTGTCACATCCATCCTGACAATCTCGCCCCATCTGCCGCCAGGATCACATTAATCTTTCTGTTTACCTGCGTGTAGCAAATAAAACATACTACACGCTCAGCGATGAAGCTGAGTAAGCATATCTAAAGCGTCGAACATCCAAATAAATTGAATCTCAATTCATAATCAACCATTTGATATCATGCACACAATATATGATTCAAACATTCAT